TCCTCCCCCTCCTCCTCCTCCTCCTTCAAATCTTTATATCTATTTTTAGTTCAAACATAGTGGAATTTAACTTGTGACTGTGAGGTATGACATGCAGAACGTCTATTCCTGCATCAGTAGGTGCTGCCCTGATTGGCTGTTTGCCTCAGCATGTAAAATGTTAGTGGTTTTATTTTTATTGTTTGCCTTCTTTCTTAGCAATTGAAGTCCAGGATAACATCAAGCACCACAGAAAACCCTGTGTTAAGTTGACCTGTTCTAATGTGCATGCAGAATCACATCGGTCACACATCCACATTTTTACATAATGCCATATTAGTAACTGTTGTATTCTGAAATTTGTATTTGGGGTAAAAATGGGAGTTCATAACCCACTTGAATCTAAAGTATGAAATATTATATGTCAAGAGCTTTGTAATGTTTTGAACAACCAGTAAAAAATAAAAAACTAATGTGCATGCAGTCCTGGGGAAAAGGCTCTCCTACTTGGTCAGCCTGGGACTCTGCTTCATAGACACCTTTCATTCTCTTTTGTGTTAGAAAGTCAGGTGATAACCATTTTATTTCTCAGTAGAAAGAAGACTTGTGGTATAAAGTAGATAAAAGGAACAAAGTATCAATGAAGCTCTCACCGTTCACTTTCTTTAACTTATCAATTTGTAGACTCAGAGATGAATTAGAGGTGGAGAACAAACTGCTTCGAATCACTAAGGAAAGATCAGGCAAGTGCGGGGTTCCCACCCATGTCCCCTCTGTCGCCCCTGCCCGTGCCTGACTCTCCTCCGCCCCTTGGTTCCCCCCCAGCCTCCCTGGGGGACACTGTCAGAGGTTCCTGTGAGTCTCCACGACCCCTCGGCTCCCTTTCATGCTCTGTATAGTCTCCTGATGGTCTGCACCATCTGAAGGCAAACCTGGAAAAGTCTGTGAGTAGTAATCAACATTAAACCTTACACCTTGGCCAGAGCACACAAAACAAGATAGTCGATAAACACTTATCGATTACATGAAATGAATTAAATCAAGAATTAAGGAAGGTATACCACGTTTTCAGATCAGATTATTTTTGACATGCTTGGACTTTGAGGTCCATTATAGTTATAAATGATGTATATAATATTGTTAATAATACACAGTACTATTAATGAGAGCCAGATATTAAACACAATAATAGTTTGCCTTCAAAATATATTTCCAGAAGAAACCGAGAAAAAAGTAATTGATGAGGAACAACTTACTCTTACGGAGAAGGTTGAAATTCAGAGATGTGAAATACTCAAGAAATGGGATGAAATTCAAGACCTTGAAAAGCAAATTAAAGCAACACTGGTGCACACTGGAATTTCAGGCATTGCCGAGAATAAGCTTAAAAGCATAGAGGTATGCAATTTGTTTAAATATTTATATTGTTCTTTTGCTTGAGACCTTGATGAATGCATGAAGCAATTTGATTCTGTAACAAGGTATAAAAATACAGTCAAATTTGGTCCAAATGTATTTTTATTTCAGACTTTGTGGCAGATAATTAGAATAATTAAAAACCAGCAGAAACAAAAATGATACAAATGTCATTGAGCTGTCGATGGCCAATACCTGCAGAATCTGTGCAGAAAATGTGCAGTTGGATTCAATATAATCTCTGGCTGTAGAATTTATAAGAATTTCCTCTTGTGGCTATATAGTCACAGATATTTTCCCAGCACTATTTTTTTTTCAGTAATTAGAAATGTATGATATGCAGCTGGTAGTGGTGCTCTAAACTACTCTGGATTCTTAATTAATCATTATCTTGCCTCACTGCCATAATTGCTAATCCTTTCCAACACATTGGCTATCTGTAAGAGCAAGTCTTGATAACCCCCGCCCACCATTTTTCATGATTAACTTGGATATTCTCATTCACAGTATTAACTGATTTTTCAAGTTCTGCTATTAATAAGACTCTGGTATTCCGATTGTGCTTACAATGAATTTATAAATCCACTTGGGAGAAAGTGATAGTTTCACAACATGAATATTTGTATCCAGGATCATTTTAACTTTATTTTATTTATTTCTATGTCTGGGTCTTAAATAATTATTATACTTACTCACATGAATTTATAGGACCTGTTACTATTATAAATGGAAATTTAAAATGTTCCACGTTACACTTGGTGATCGGTTCCTGGTGCGGGTGTTAAGTACCAGTACAGGTGGCCCGTGGGAATGTTGTGCATTTGGCTCCAGGCTCCCACACTAAAGCTATTATCACAATAAACTGATGACATGAGTTTTTTGATTTCTCAGAGTATATAAAAGTCATGCTTATGCTATATTGTAGTCTATTAAATGTATAGCAGCATTCTCTCTAAAAAATATGGACCTTAATTTTAAAAACTTTATGCTAAAAAATGCTAATGATTATATGTGCTGTTAATGGTGAAAAAACAGTGCCAATGAACTTGATTGGCACAAGGTTGTTCCAAGCCATCAGTTTGTAAATGAAAAATCAAATATCAATGGAGCACAATAAAAGGAAGCACAAAAATGAGGTATGGCTGCAAGTGTGTGTGTGTGTGTGTGTGTGTGTGTGTGTGTGTGTGTGTGTATTAAGTTTTGTAAACTGGGCAGGGTTTTTTTTTTAAGTTGCTGAGGCTACTCTTGAACTTGTGATCCTCTTGCCTCAGCTGTCAGAGTCTCTGGGATTAAAACTTTTTTTTTATCTTAAAACTGACAGGTATAAATTATGTGTAAATAAAAATGTAACACTTAGTTTTAATGGTTGAATGTGCTAATCATGCCCAGCTTGTATTTGTAGTTTTATATTGTTTCCAGCCACTGAACAGTAAGGAACCTTACTCTGAATTTCCCTAAGGTTTTAAATTTTTGAAGGATTAATCCCATCTTCTTCAGTTTTTGAAACAGAGGCCAGAGATATTTTTTCTTACCCTCTGTCCTTCATTTAATCATATGATTTTAAGTGTTGTGTTTGAGTACTCTTGAGATGACACCATTTACATAATACTTTTTATTCCATAAATAGAGAAAAATAATTAACCAGCTATCTTGCTTTTAAACCATTTGTCCTTCAGAATGAAGCTATAAGATTGGAAACATCAAATAGGATCCTAAATAAGAAATTGGAAGTAAGTCTTCTTGGTGCCTGAATCAGTGTCATCAGTAGAAGTGATCCCTGGAGTACCCACTTGCCCCGTGTCACAGACAAACAAGAACGCACACTTTCTTCTTCTAGATGACAACTTCCTGTGGTGCTCCAAATATCTGGCTATGCACACAGTATCTTAAAACTGACAGGCGTGAACTGATGTATAAGTGAAAGTGTAGCATGAGTTTTAATGGTAGGATGTGCTAATAATAATGATTTCTCTATTCCATCTACACTTTACCATGCGACATAAGGATTTTATTTGGTGACAAGGAATCTTTTGAACTGACTCCACCTAGCAGCTTTGAAGATGTCCCCTAGGGCTGATTAGAACACTTACCTTACATTTGCAAAGCCCTGGCTTCCATCTCCAGGAAGACACACACACACACACACACACATACACACACACAGAGCTTAACATGCTATAGATCTATTACAGATCTATTATGTGTGTATCTGTCTGGACTGTACACAGTATGAATTAGTATGTTATACCTGATTCTAGAAATGCTGATTTATTTGGATTCAGTTTCATTGCCATCATACATGACGACAGGATTTTAATTTTTTTGTAGGCCAATGAAAACCATCTGAAGCAGTTCATGAGAAAGAGTAAGATCAGTGAGGAGGAGCAGCAGTGAGTATATCTTCAGGAAAGAGCTGTAACTGTCCTGCTGTCCCAGAACACTCACAGGCTGAGCCCTGAGGAGCACTTGGGAATGCCGACTTCATACTGTTGCAGCTTTTCCTGCTTAAAAGTGCTTAGTCCCAGATTTAAACCTCAGTGTATATGGATGGTTTTTCAATGTCGAGAGCTGAAGAGAGGCAGTGGATTCTCCTGGGCAGGGCCAGGAAAGTGGGGGTGCCTGTGGCTATGGGTGGCTTTCTTTTCTCAAATTACAAGGATTTTTGTGAAGTTGAATCTGAAAAACCCTATGAATATCCTCCTTTAAAATTTTAAGTTCAAAAGCAAATGGTTGATTTCAGTTGCCTGCTGTAGGTGACTGTGCTTCACATGGCTATTCTTCTGAGACTTGATGTTGCACTTCGATCCAGGATCTGGTACAATTGGAAGTGGAAGAAAACCCTGCGGGTTTAGGGAAGGCTTATTGGCATCAACAGGGCCCGTTAGGCTCAGTGGTGGCACCCAGTAACTCCGCACACACTGTCCTTTCCTGAGACCTCCCCCGGTCTCAGTATGGCTGTCTTCAGGGATTAGGTCCATGTTCCAAGGAGGAAGGGAGGGAAGAGGAGGACAGATAACCAAAGACTTCGCATGTGGGGCTTTCAGCTCAATTGAGGGGGACAGTGGTTCTCAGTGACTCCCAACCACACCTCAGTGGCCCGCACGGCCTACCACCCCCCTTAGCTGGAAAGGAGGCCAGAAACAGAGGACGCCTCCCTCCCGCTAGGTAGACAGAGAAACCCAGGGGAGAGGGCCCTGGACCGGGATCTCAGCTTCCTTGGTGACTCCTGCTCCTCCTGTGGTGTGGGGGGCCGTGGAAGTCGGGTAACGACAACGTTACGAACTTGGCCCTGGCAGGCTCCTGGCCACTCCGGCAGCAAGAGCGAGTTTCTGAAGGCTGTGCGGACTCTTGGTGGCAAGTCCAGCCCTGCTGTTACGCTGTCCTTCATCTGGAAGATTCGGGTGGGGGCTTGGGGGGATCCAAACACAAGCAGGTCTTCCTTCCATCCAGTGTCTAAACTGTGCTAAAATATTCTTCAAAGGCAGACGATTGCAAAGTCTCATCTGTTTTCAGATAAACGTGCCCTAAAATACAAGTTTACTTTGAAGTGTTCTTTCTTCCTTAATGCATTTTTCTAATCTATTATATTCACTTCTTCTGTATTTTAAGGAAACTTTGGGAATTTATTAAAAAATACACAAAATTAGAAGAAACAGAAAATAACTCTCAAGCAACTGGAGAAGTGACCCATGAAAATTCAGAAGTGTCATGTGTATAGCAGCCTGGATGTTTTCAGATGGAGAAGTCAAGGGAGAGGCATTCCATTTCGTCCACCTTACCCCAATAAAATTAATGTGTTATAAGTATCCTCTTCAGAGTGTTGATCAATGCATATACACACATGGTCAGTTTTAATTTATGCATATGTGCATAACAATACTAGTTCTGAGAATTTGCTGCTTTTATTTAGTAACTTTCCACTGGAGAAAATACTTTTCAATATTTAAGAATAAAAAATCTTTCTGTGTTATATTAGGGGGGATCAAATTTGTCAATCTAAAAATAATTGCTTATCTGCCAACAGTTTTTTTTAACATGTAATACAGTGTAGTGGTGCTCTAATTTATATTCATTTAATTAAGTAACCTTTATGAATTGGAAGTGATGGCTGCTCTTCAAATGTCAGGACTCTGGTTTGAGCTTGGCACACGGGCATCTTGGTTGGCCGGGACCTTCAGCCCCACCCTGGGACTTGGGGTTCGTTTCTCCTCTTTGTCTTTGATCTGGTCTAACTTCTAGAGCTAGAGGTTAAATTGGAATCCTTCTGACAACCAAAGGTGGTGACCTTGGAGTTCAGATGTCGGTGGTGAGACATGAGTCCTAACTTGGAATAGTGGAGGAGAGAGAGAGAGAGAGAGAGAGAGAGAGGGAGAGAGAGAGAGAGGGAGAGAGAGAGAGAGGATGGGGGGCAGGCTTGTCAGGAGGGTGTGCTCCAACAGTGCTCTGAGAACCACGAGCTCTTCCTGGCCATGACTCACCTCTGCTTAAGAGGCAAATTGGTGGCAGTTTTTGCCACGTGTAGACATCAACCGGGCTTTCTTAGTAGTGTTTTTTATATTCCAGTTACTTTCCGTTGGTCACTTCGTCCTCTGGGATCCTGCTAATAGGATGTCTCTCCTTACACAGGGGAGACCTGCAGCTTGAGGCAGGGACTCGGTTCCCTAGAGTGCCCTCTAAGGGACAGGGCTAGGAGGAGCCCAGGTCTGGTTGACACCACTCCTGACCTCCTGGGGCCTTATCGTGTGGTGTCATTTGTAAGAGAGTGGGAATGGATTTCCGAATTGCCTAAGAGTGGCAGAAAGACCAGGAGAAGTAAAGACAGACAGATGCTCCGTGTGGCTCCGTGGTGGGTGAGGAAACTGGGAAGTGTTTATCCGGGATTGGCCAACAACCATGCTGCTCTTGGAGGGCTGCCAGGTGGGTTATAGTAAGGCTTTGTGGAGATCAGAGTTCATGAGCGGAACGCGCTCCTGAGGACTGCAGATGAGGGATCCTCTCATCCTTTCTATTACAAAGAACCTTCCATTCTGTCAGCATTCAGAATAGTTCAGAGAAGTGGCCAGCTGTGAGGATGGAAATGAAGAACATCTGGTGCCGATCCCCAGGGAGTTTGCGGTGGTGGTAGAGGCTGAGAGAAGAGCCACAGCCAACGCCTAGTCACACCACTGCATGCCAGGCTGTGGGTAGGTGGTCCCACATGCGCTGGACCAGGTGTGACTGATAAGGAGCTTTGGGAAGGGACCTGGCACAGCGGGTGTGGCTCCTTGCATTTGAGCAGGAACACGTGACTGGGGGCCAGGGTGGGGTGCAGGTGGCTGAGCTCCACAAGAAACAGGTGACCCCTGGGAAGATTGGCTGATTTGTAAAAGAGACTAAAAGGGAATAAAGAGTCAAATTTCGGCTTCTCGTCGTCAGAAAATCTGACTGCTTTGAGTCTGCGCTTCTCCGAGATGAGATTTTAGAGAATCCCTAATTTGATCCAGGTTCGGAAAGCAAGGGGCAAATCCTGGTGTGGCCTTTCCGTCTAAGCTCTGCAGCCCCGAGGGAAGCATCTAGGAATGGAGAGTGAGGCCTGGGCCATGGGACTAGATCTAGCACTGAGTCCTCTTGGATGCCCGGCTCTACCTGGAGGCAAATGCTGTGGGAGCCTCCTGAGTTTGAAGGAGTTTCCAGCCAAAGAATCCAGGACCCTCCGGTAGGAAAGCCTGTTACTGTCCCAAGCCTGCAGCAGCCTTGGTCTCCTGACCACCCAAGGAGAGGGGCAGAAAAGAAGCTGAGAAAGCTGTGCTTCCCCCAAGGGGCATATTTCCCAAAGCCCACCATGCACATGCCCAGGGGAGTGGACAGGGGCCAGTCAGGCACAAGGATGAGGGCAGAGCTCCATCCAGGATGCAGGAGCAAGACTGGGCCCAGAGGAGTCACGAGCTCCTGGGTAGGCCCTGTGTCTTCCCTGCAGAGTTTTAGAAATCTAGGTACTGAGGACGGCTGTGTGCATCCTGTTTTTACCCTTTCTCTATGGAAATTCTCAAACTTCCTGAACCTATCCTGCCACATCAATGTTTATAGCAGCTCAATTCACAATAGCTAGACTATGGAACCAACCTAGGTGTCCCTCAATAGATAAATGGATAAAGAAAATGTGATATATATATATATATATATATATATATATATATATAGTCAATGGAATATTACTCAGCTTTAAAGAAGAGTGAAATTATGGCATTTGCTAGTAAATGCTTGGAGTTGGAGAATATCATGCTAAGCGAAATAAGCCAATCCCATAAAACCAAAAGTCAAATGTTTTCTCTAATATTCGGGGTGGGGTCACTAGGGAAGAATAGCATTACCTTAGATTAGGTAGAGGACAGTGATGGGAAGGAAGGGGAGAGGATGGGGGAGAGGGAGATAGTAGAAGGAAACAGACATCGTTACTGTGTGTCTATATGTGACTACGTGACCAATGTGATTCTGAAACAAGTACACTCAGAAAAAACGAGACACTATATTGCATCTATGTATGATGTATCAAAGTGCATAAATACATTCTACTGTCAGGTGTAACTCATTAAAATAAATAAAAAATTTAAAAATTTAAAAGAAATATACTGAGGGAAAAAAGATGATAAAATCATTTTAGTTGTAAATGTTCAGGAAGTGCCTTGTGAATCAATTTAAATCTTGAATTATCAAGTTTTGAAGCTTAGTTGCTCTGTTCATAAGAATTTGATTAATATTTTTTGAAAAAGCAATGGATTTCTCCCCATAGGACAACATGTTTGGCCTTAAAGCCAATAAACTGGTTATTTTTTTTTAAAGTCCTGCCTTAAAAACATTTATTAATATTTTTTTCTAATATTTTCATCTCTTTCTAAATTTATTTCATGACGGAGCCTTCTCTCTTCCCTCTCCTTCCCCACCTTCCTTCCTTCCTAATCTTATTCAATGCCAGGTGACATTATTTTACAAACCACAGAAGTATTGAAAATTTGACTTTGGGGAATTTTTTCAGTGTGTTGCATTTGGCTAAAAATAAGGTTAAAATAAGAAACACAGAGAAGCAGAATAAGTAAAAAGAAAGAAAGAAAGAAAGAAAGAAAGAAAGAAAGAAAGAAAGAAAGAAAGAAAGAAAGAAAGAAAGAAAGGAAAGAAACTCATGTGCATGTTCAGATGTTCCCTTTCTCTCTCACTCCCTCTTGTTGTCTAGGGTTTCTCTGTCGGCCCTGCCTCTTCTAAATGCCATCTCCTGCTGCTCACCGTGGAACTGTGAGGGCGGAAAGGGGCAGAGACTTGATGGCCCCTGAGCTGGGTAGGAAGTCCCTGGAGGTCAAATCTGTGAATGCTGCAAACAAATTAAAAGAAAGAGAGCTACATAGTCAACACAGATAAATCTCAGAAGAATAATATTGGAAGAAAAAAGTTATAAATAGAACGAATACATTGCAGCGCCATTAATCCCAGCAGAGAACGAATCAGAACGTACAGTCGGCTCCAATTGGCATGAGGCCAGCTCAGTGGTCCTGGGATGTGGGTTAGCTGTAGGGAAGAGGGGAGGGAAGAAGAGGGAAAAGGGTGGGCTGGCTTCTGTATTTCACGACCATAATGTTTAATTCCTATCAATACCAGGAGCAGAAATGCCAAGAGATTGGTGCGTGTTTATCCTGACAGTGGGCTCATAGATGTCAGCGGTGTTACTTTCTCTACGTGGCAATGTGACGGTCATTACCCTCCAGGCTTCCTGCTCTACCTGCGGGAGTTCCTCCAGTTCTCGCATGACCTCATGTGGCAGGCTGCAGGTACTGCTCCTCTTTTATAGATGAGAAACTGCTTATCTGGAATGCTTCATGTCAAGTCCGCTGTATGTGTGCAGTGAAGGAGGCTCTGGGGTAATATTTGTAAATGTACAACGAGAGTCAGGACTGACTTGAAGGGATCTTGAACAATACCCACAGGGAGGGGTCAGGACGGCTGAACAACCTTCGAGTCCTGGGGAGGTGTTTCCAGGAGGGCGCAGTGTGAGCCATCAGGCGGTCTGCCCCTGGCTAGGACATGGTGGTGGTGACAGTGGTGGCAGTGATGGTGACTGCTGTGGTTGGATCTGGAACGTTCCCCTCAGCGCTTCCGTATGGGAACACGGTCCTGCTCAGCTTGGTTCAGAGGAGGCCTTGTAGGCAATGATTGGGTGCAGGGCTCTGATCTCATCTGTGGATTAATCCATTTGATGGCTCAATGACTCCAATGGACCTGCTGGGAGGTGGTGAAAGTCACCGGCAGCTGGGGCACCACTGGAGAGTGAGTCACTGGGCATCGGCCCCTTCCTCGCTCCTCTCCCTCTCTCTCCCTCTCCTTCCCACCTGCCAGGAGTTGAGCAGCTGCCCCCCATCATGCCCTTCTGCCATGGTGTTTCTGCCTTGGAGCCAGCTGACCACAGGCTGAACCTCCAAAACCATGAGGCTAAATGAACCTTCCCCTCCTAAGCTGTTTTTTTTTTCAAGTATTTTGATCACAATGACAAAAAGCTGATTAACACAGTTATGGCAGAGGAGTAGTGACGGTGGCGGAGATGATGGTGATGTGATGGTGGAGGTGATGATGGCGAAGGTTATGATAGCAATGGTGGTAGAGGTGATGGTGAGGCTGATGGTATAGGTGATGGTGATGGTGATGGTGGGGGTGATAT